AATACGCTCAGCCTCCCCAGTTTCCACTTTATACGGCGCCTCGATGAACACAGATCGTGTCTTTTTGTCCCTAATCTCAACTGAAGGCTCATAGGCTCTAAAGGGAAGTGTTTGACTGGTTATGTCAGACGAAGCTGGCGCAGACGAAGAGGGTTCGAGAAGGAGGAGGAGCGACGTCGAGCAGTATCCTGTGAACTATCGATGTGATTAGTAGCATATGACGAGCAATCACAGCTTAGGCTAACCTGCTCCTGGAGTGCTATGTGGCGAGAGGTGGGTGCTGGTGCGACAGTGTACCACCCGATAAACTCCAGTGAAGGAAATACTTGTTTATCTGTGACCGCCAAGTAACACAAAGAAGTGAGCTACCGAGAGAACACGACATACACTGATCTCTCCTTTGCACAAGGAACCCGTGATCGACCTTGTCATCATGACCCTCTTCTAGTGCGAGCTCGAACGTGTTAACGATCTCCACTTCTCGACCATTCTGTGTACCTAGTAATGCACCAAGGACTACATACGACACAGTCAGCATATGCCTACGAGTTGCTCGCGATAGCAAAATTACCGAACGGCAAATTCGATTTTGTTTGAAGCTTCAATCGGGTGAGGTGCTCTGAAATGTTTAGGATTGGCAAGGGGTGTCTATAGGCTGTTGTGAAGCGTGATATCTGATGACGACGACGCGATCGACTTACAATGAAAGAGAAAGGCCTGAGGTCGTACTAGATGGCAGTACGACTGAGAGCTCGTCGGTATCCATTGAAGTCACAATAATAGTTTGAGTTGTAATCCAAGTGCTGAAGTGGAACTGCCTCTACTTTTCAGAGCAGCGACAAAAAGGGGCGAACAAAATTAATTTCCCATTAGCCGACTTGAACGACTGACCTCGTCATTACTAGTGACGCGCTCTACCAACTGAGCTAAACGGGAGTTATAATTGTGTTTTCGTTAGATCCATAATGCTTGTCTTGAACGCGAAAGAACCCGCCCTAAATTTGATTCATGTCCATACTCGCGTCTCATTCAAGGTCTTCAATTCACCCGCATCATGTCTGGCTTCGACGCGAACCGTGTTTTCACTGTCAATGTCCATGACCCACCAGCTCCGACCTCGACAGACAGACCTTCAGAGACCGAAAAACTCCTTCTTGAGTTCTTGCTGCAGTACAGAGTGGGAGGCGAATTCATCTATAGGTTTACTTTCTCAGACTTTGAAGGTACCTAGGAGTCTGATCGTGCCACAGGGACAAGCTTCGTGGAAATCTCCTCTTGAAGCAGTATCAGCTAGAAGTAGACCTCCGCCACCTTGGCTTGTACAATGACGAACTTGCTCATGCAATTCAAGATCGACCAGCAGACATTCTTCCACTGGTGGGTCATACCTGACGGTCATGCGTCCGCGTCTCACACCCGCGCGATGCCCAGTTTGAAAATGCGGCCACTAAGGCTGCTCGGGCAATCCTTTTCCCCCTTGCAGGCAGTTCCGACGAACGAGCAGAAGCGGCCCTCCAATCCATCCCCAAAATCCAAATAACGATCCAATCTGGACTAAACATGCAGCGTTTCCGTGATCTCACCGCAGACACGATGAACAAATTAGTCCGCATCCCAGGCATTGTGATATCAGCTTCAGTCCTCTCCTCCAGATCCACAAAGCTCCACCTTCAGTGCCGTGCATGCAAGTCGACGAAAATCATATACCCTCATGGAGGTCTTGGCGGGATTGGCAGTGGTTCTGATCGGGGCCTTCCAAGAGTCTGCGACGCTCCTGAGCTAGATAATCAGAAGAAAGACTGTCCGCTTGACCCGTATATCGTTGTTCATTCCAAGTCGAGCTTTGTGGATCAACAGACCCTTAAGCTCCAGGAAGCTCCCGACATGGTACCTGTTGGAGAACTTCCTCGTCATATGCTTCTGTCCGCGGATAGATATCTGACGGGAATAGTTGTTCCCGGATCACGCATCATTGCCACTGGGATTTATTCGACATTTAACTCAGCAAAAAACGTAAGTTCGCATTACACTTTCCGAGTCTCTAATGAACGTGGAACACAGAAATCTGGCGGCGCAGCTGCCCTTCGACAGCCATACCTTCGTCTTGTTCACATTGAGTTATCTTCACCATCTGCAGGTGGCGCAGGTTTGAATCCTTTCGGAGTGCAGTTTAGCCCTAAAGAAGAAGAGGAGTTTGGCGAAATGGCACGAAGCGAAGGATTCTACGAGCGCTTCGCGAAAAGTGTAGCTCCAAGTATCTTTGGCAGTCTAGGTAAATCCAAGATCGCGTTGAGGGATAAGTCGCTGAATGCAATTTAGATATCAAGAAAGCAATCACATGTCTTCTGTTCGGAGGCTCTAAGAAAGTGCTACCTGACGGGATGCGACTGAGGGGAGACATTAATGTACTTTTACTCGGAGACCCTGGAACAGCCAAAAGTCAACTTCTCAAATTCGTCGAGAAGGTAAATTGATCTGCATTTGTCTCGTCTTCTTACTTACTAACATTCATAGGTCGCGCCAATCGCCGTCTATACCTCGGGTAAGGGTTCAAGTGCGGCAGGTCTGACAGCTTCAGTGCAGCGTGACGCGCTTTCCGTGAGTTTACAACAACGTAGTTTTAAAAGTTGCTGATCGCCACCTGGACAGCGTGAGTTCTACCTGGAAGGTGGTGCCATGGTTCTTGCCGACACTGGTGTTGTATGTATCGACGAGTTCGACAAGATGCGTGACGAAGACCGTGTTGCCATCCACGAGGCGATGGAGCAACAGACAATATCCATAGCGAAGGCTGGTATTACAACGGTCTTGAACTCTCGGACGAGTGTCCTTGCGGCGGCGAATCCAGTATGGGGCAGGTACGACGAAGGACGCAGTCCTGGCGAGGTAAGTCATTGTTGGTCTTAGTTGTGTCTCGACAACTTACTTGATTTATTGCAGAACATCGATTTCCAAACCACGATATTATCTCGCTTTGATATGATATTTATTGTTAAGGATGAACATAATGAGCAGCGTGACCGGGTTTGCCTCTCGATCCTTGTCATTGGGTCTTGTCTTATCCTCCTTTACCAGATGATCGCAAAACATGTCATGAACATCCATATGAACAGACCAAACCAAAACGCTGATGAGAACGGTGAGGTAGTCGGTGAGATTGATATCGATAAGATGAAACGATACATCGCGTATTGCAAAAGGTAGCCTTGGTACTTCAGTTCAGAATCTCTGCTCATCAGGTTTTCAGGAGATGCGCTCCTCGGCTATCCCCAGACGCTCAGGAGATGTTGAGTAGTCACTTCGTTAGCCTGCGAAAGCAGGTCCAACAGGTTGAACGTGATAACGACGAGCGAAGTTCGATACCCATCACTATTCGGTGTGTTTAACATTTTCAGTTATCTTTCAGCCTTAATTAATGCTTATGTTTCTAGTCAACTGGAAGCTATCATTCGAATATCCGAGTCCCTCGCCAAGCTCACCCTGTCCCCCATCGTACAGAATCACCACGTCGAAGAGGCCATACGTTTATTCAAATTCTCTACCATGGATGCCGTCTCGGCGGGATCTGTTGATGGAATGTCTCGAGGCGAGCTCAACGAAGAGATGAGTCGCATAGAAAAGGAACTTCGAAGGCGGCTCCCGGTAGGATGGAGTACGAGCTACCAGAGTTTAGTCAGGGAGTTTGTCACGCAGCAAGGCTATTCCAGTCACGCCTTGGAACGCACCCTGTTTATCTTGGAGAAGAGGGAGATCATTAAATTCAGTGGGCAGAAGAAGGTCGTGCACAGGTAGGTTCATTTCCTCCAGCACAAATCCCTCCCTTCGCTCATTACCGAACGCAGAGTTGGTGTATGATATATGGCACATTTGTATAATCTATTCGTTTTACATGTAATGTATCTTCCTTGACATTTGCATGATTCCATTGTCGTTCGTGATATTGAACCCTTTTGATCAGATCACATCGCCCGCCTAGCTCAATCGGATAGAGCGTCAGACTCTTATGACTAGGCGATCTGAAGGCTGCGAGTTCGACCCTCGCGGTGGGCTATCAGTTTTTATTCCTCCAGCCTGCATTCAACGACGTTGAAATATCGAATATTGAATATCATTGACAAAACCTCGACCTCGATGGCCAACACAGACCATGTTCCCCATTGACGTGGTGCACTCGGTAAGGACTATCGCAGTTCGCGGAATGGGTTCCCTTTGCAGACGTAGCAGAGATGATGAAGTAGAACCACGTCCCGCCACCCATGGAAATGGAACCATTCTATACGTCTCCTGCCCTTATCGACAACAGCAACGTGCAGTCTGGAAGAGAGTATGACTGTTTGTGATTCATTCGCCATCGCAAGATACCTGGACGAGACTTATCCCGACCATCCCATCTACATTCCTCTGGGTAGAGAGCTTGTCGAGGCCCGCATGCAGGAAATCCATGCACTGCGGCGCGCATTCATGCACATGTGTGTAGCACATACTTCGCGACTCCTGGAAGACCGTCACAAGGAGGCTTTCGTCGCCACCAGGACTAAATATTTCAGTACGGTCGCAGCCCGCATCCTGGTGGCATTCACTCAAGCCTCACGCTATTGGAAACTGGCAGGAGTACATCTTGATGATCTCCGGCCTAGAAAACCGAAGACCGTGCACGACGGCCTACTAGTAGGAAGGTCGTCAGATTACATCGAAAGTCTGGAGACATACCGCCCAGGCACAGCCTTCCCATTCGAAGGAGACGCGCCTCGATATGCTGATTTTGCGCTGTGTGCCGCTCTGATCTGGTTCCAGACGTGTAGCCCCGAGAGTGCTTTGGGAGAATATCAAAGATTTGAATGGGGAGAAGTGGGAACGTCTGTGGAAAGGTGTAACGAATACGAACAATGATTCAACGACAATTCGGGGGTTTCTCAGGCTGTAAATTGGAGTACAAATCGTGACGCTACTAGGTGGTCTCAACAAGGGGAAGAAAAAGAGGACTAGCAACAAAAACGATTAGCCCACCGCGAGGGTCGAACTCGCAGCCTTCAGATCACCGCCTTGCACGTAAAAGTCTGACGCTCTATCCGATTGAGCTAGGCGGGCGGTACCATTACTTCCTTAAAATTCCTTATATGACTCTCGCTGCATGTCCACGTGATGTTATTTGTTGGTTCACGTGCCACCAGTTGCGCGTTGCGACGACTCGGACTCGATCCACTTGAAAAGTAAAGACCTGTCAGCGCGAAAGGCTGCGCATATAACTCATATACCACATTGCAACGGATACGCACACCGATGGGTAGTATGGTATCGGACAGCGAGAAGGAGGGGTCACGGTAAGTTGTGGAGCTCTTGTCAGAGCTCTTGTCTCTCAGGCTGCCACCTCCCGGTGTCAGTGGGGGGCTCTTCATGCGGGTCATAGAAATATCGTCTGGTTCCGAAGAAGACGTGTAAGTGCCTATTGCAATACCCAAGGTTTACAAGAGTTCGGTCCTAATCATCCACAGGATTTGCCAGGCGAGTCCCAGGTATGGGGCTCATTGTGTTGCATTTTGGTCGCACTCGAGCCCAGACTTGTCATCGTAGCAGGAAGTCGGTACCTCCATTCCAAGGACGAAGCGACTTTCGCAAGACACCTGCAGCTCAACACAATGAGGTTATTGAGTTGACAGATAGCGACTCGAGTGATTCTCTCGAGCTTCGAGTGATGCTGTCTTCTCTGGTTAAGCGACCCGCAGAGCAGGGCTCTTCCGGCTCGAAGTCTACCCACCCTTTCTCTGAAAGGAAGTTTTTACCATTGTATGCTGACGCGAATGACGGTGATTCAGATGACGATTCTATTTTGGTGTTGTGCGTTGATTGCCTTTACATATCTGGAACATATACTTACCCCTAGCGCAGGGACGAACCTCGAGGGTCTCAAAAGCCGATTCGAAGCACCTTGCCCACCAAGAATGCTTCAAAAGCATTTCCTCTTGCTACACCGAAGGAACCTTCGAGACAGTCATCTACAGCTTCTGGTCAAGATGCCATCGAGAACATCTTATTCCCACCAGCACGGTCCCCTAGGAAGCGAGCTACTGTTTCTAAACCCTCACCGAGGGTTTCCGGACAGCCCCGGCTTTCAAAAAAGGCACAGATGGCAGAAGACCAAGCCCGACGGGAGCGATACGCAACTGAGCTATTTACTGAGCTCAATCGTGACGTCTTTGGTGATGAACTCCCGAAGGATACTAACCTAGAATGGAACAAACGGTTGCTGACCACGGCCGGACGGGCACGCTGGCACCGGCGAGTACAACTAACTGCAGCATTACTCGGTGTGTTAACTGTCCTTCAACTGTAGCTCCCGTGATGGCATACATAACACAAAGATCGAACTGGCTGCAAAAATTTTAGACTGCAATGGTGAGTTTGAATTGGGTTGGCTGCGCCGTCGGGTTGACTTTGATCCTTGCAGAACGAATTCGGAACACCATGTCTCACGAAATGTGCCACCTAGCATGCTGGGTTATCGACAACCACCCTCAAGAGGGACACGGACAACTCTTCAAGTCATGGTAACCATATGGCTGTGTGCATTGTTCTCGCCTATTGAACATGCGTTTTCTAGGGCAAACAAAGTGATGCGCAAGCGTCCAGATATTCACATTTCTGTAAGAAGTTATGATATAGCTCACAAAGGTACCAACCGTCTTCGTCAGACCCGCCATAACTACGAGATTTTATACCCATACGAATGGAGTGAGTCTGTTTTCTTTCTTGGAGATCCTGATGTGATCCAATACGGCACCCGCAGAATGTGAAAGGTGCTTAAAGATGTAAGCGTGATCAAACTTCGTCTACGGTTCCCTCACCAGCTTGTTCCTAGCTATGGAAGGTATTCCAAATCAATACGACCAGACGAATGTGGTAAGTGCAAGCACTAGGCACGATAATGCTTCGGGGTGAGCGTGTTGATTGATGAATATCTCTCTTGGACAGTCTGTGGAGCGTGTAAAATTGGCAAGCTCGTCCCTCTATTTGCTCAGGCAACACCCAGGACGCCCGGAGTTTGCCGCATGACCATCGTCGAGCCCCAAGGTAAGGAAAAGTTTTCCAAACCATTGTATCAAGGGGTACTTGGGGCTGAGCAATGTTGGTTTGCGTAATGTCACAGGTCCTCCGCGCTCCACGATTGGGAGCCCATCAAAAGCCTGTGTCGTCGCCCAGCGGACGGCACCCCCACCGTCAGCTTATAGTCTATCGTCTGGGTCTGACGACGAGAATATCTCGGGCTTGGTGATCGATCTATCAATGGACCCACCTGACACGCCATTCAACTGATATTCGTCGACCTCACAAGCTGGGCAGTTGCGAAAATATGCCTAGGCCCTTCGCAGATAAACTGGCAAGGACTGATACAGGTCTATTCAGGAAATATCATACTGAGGAGTTACCGCAAAAACAAAAACAAAAGTGAACTGCGAAGAGACGGGCGACACTGGGAGTAGAGACAGGCTGTCTAACAATGTACAACAATCTGATGCAAAAGGGCTCTATGATGGATAGTACTTTCCAACTTTCAACGGCAGCCGTGCGCCGTATTCGAACTGGTCGTAAACATAGGGCCGTGTGAGCACAGCGTTAAACTTCTGGATGTCCGCAGCAGGCTCGAAGACAAAGTCAGGAAGAAGGGTCGCCATGAAAATCTTCGTCTGGAGAATGGAGAATTTCCAACCTGGACAGGCGTGTGGGCCAAAGGAGAACGTCATCAGGTTGGCGATTCCGGGATATGCCGGAACACGAGCAGTATGCGGCAGTGAAAGCCAGCGGTTGGGGCTTCGAGTTTAGGTTGTAGTTAGCATGAGTGCAGCCAAATAGCACACATATTTACTCACTTGAAAGATCTTGCGTCTGGGCCCCAGATGTCTTCGCTGAAGTTCAATGCTTCAATCGGCACATGTACATAAGATCCCCTGCGTATACGAAAGGTCTCTCCGTCTCGGACGACTGTACCATTGCGAAGGAGAATTGGGGAAGAGATGGGGATGTTGTCGTCACGCGTAGCGACACGCATTGTCCCATGAACAGGAGGGCACAGCCGGAGGGTCTCGCGCACGACAGCATCGAGGTAAGGGAGAGCATCAATGGCCTCTGCGTGAGATTGTGGAGAGTACCCCGTTTGTTTGTTTGATGAACAAGCGGACAATGAGATAATTTCGTCGCGGAGGCGCGTCTGGACGTCGGGATGCAAGGAAAGAAGGTGCGCACACCATGCCATAGTAAGTGCAGTTGTGTCTGACCCTGCGAATAGGAATGTGGAAAGCTGGGCTAGAAGATCGGCATCGGAGATGCGCTTGAATGGATCCGTTAAAAGATTTGATTTGACTAGATGGTGCACATTCAGCGTCTGCCTCGTAGCAAGGGAAAGTAGCACCGACTAAGAAGGGTCAAAATATCCTTTTCCATCATACCCGTCACGGAGGCCTTCTCCGCGAGTATGGCAGTCTTCTTGCTCTGGATGAGTTCTTTCCCAGCTCGATGAATCACAGCTTGACTTTCTTTTAGAATACGGGACCCTTCATCGGGCCAAATCTTTCCAAGGATAGGGAAATAAAGCTGGACCAGTCCCCTCAGTCCTGGATTCCTATCAGCAATTTTGAACAAATTGCGATATGCCAAGTACACGTCCTCGGACTCGTGCTGGAGAGAGCGGAAGTGGTAGTCAAAGCCGGCGAGCCCGATTACATCAAAGGCTGCGCGAGAAAACCAGTGTGAAACATCGAGTACGGTGTCAGTGAGAGATCGAGCAGGTGAATACGGTGGGGGTGGAAGTGCAGGGAGGCCCTCGCGATCGATGGATGTAGGCCTTGCTGTCAAATATTCCCAGCGGTCACGGAGTTCTTCTGCCTTTTGGAAGAAAATGGGTGTCATAGCCTTGACGGATCGTGTCGAAAATGCGGGTGAAATCAATTTCCGCTAGGTCATGAAGATTCGTATTAAGCTACAAATACGAGCCATTTAAGGCAAAGTCATACCAGTGATTTATGCTCCTCGCCCTCCATAGCAAAAACACCTAAGGCGCGATAAGCTTACACAAATTGCAACAGGTTGTGGACTACCTCGCCCAAAGAGCCTCGAGAGAAGGCTGCGAGTTTGCCATGGTTTTTCATACGCGGGGGAGTTGAGGATATGTGATATCACCCTAAAGTCGATAGAGAAAAGGCGATAGTCGTGCTGTGGGGGTACGTTTAGTCAGTGCAGGTCAGCTGTGATAGCTATCCACTGACTCGGCCAAATCCATGGAACCTAAAAGTCTTCCCGTAAGCCTTGACCCAATTCTCGTGTGTATCCGGAGAAAGCGTAGGGCTACCAATGTATAGAATAAGACCTTATCTTTCGATGACAAACCACATGACTTACTCCATAACCTCTCTGAAATGATTCTGGAGGAACAAGGCCTCAGGCCCTTGCATGTTCTTGAGCGGGTCCGAGATGGGAGCAACGATGACCATGTTAACCAACCACACCGCTCCTCTTGCTAGCGAAAGCAAGAGGATGAGGCCACAAGCTTTCAGGCCACTAGAGAGCACCCATGCAGGGATCGACCGCACTAGGTTGTTTGGCATCTTGAGGTATGTGACCTGATTGAAGCAGGGCTTGTGTCTTGTATGGACGGTCTCGCGGTGGTGGGGTCTATCGGGGAGGGCGACGGTCTTGATGGGCGCTCTTGGGAAGGACGAGAGCGGGTGATCACTTGTAGTCTACCTATCCCTTGAAGCTATTACATGTTGTGGGGGTCTCCATTGCAAATTCGGAAATACAAACCAATGCCTTTTTTGGGTAACCCGCGAATTGCCGCCACTGCTGGGTACTAACTAGTACTTACCAGGTTGCTGTTGAAGGTCACGGTGGTTCAAAGCGAAGCCCCATCGGTTCCTCTAATGTAGATGGTACATACCAGTACAGCCTGGATCTGTGAAGTTGCGTTTTGGTTTTCATCAGTGGGATTCCACGAATGGGCTGCGTCCGCGGAGGCAAACAAGGTCGACATCCCTTTGAAGCTCAGCAGAGTAGAGAAGGCCAAAGCATAGGAATACAGTGTACTATCAGTACTTTTC